TTTTGGTCTTTTTGAGACAGGGTCTCCCTGTAGCCCCAGCTGTCCTGGAACTCACTATGTAGACCAGGCTGGCCTTGAACTCACAGAGATCTGCCTGCCTCTACTTCCCAAGTGCTGGGACTATGGGTGTGCACTCCCACGCCTGACTAACGGAGATCTTTTTTAAAAGGTTAAAAACTCATTCAATTTTATGACTTACAGGGCTTATACTGCATTCACTATTCTATAACTGTATTAATTCAACTGTGAACCTAGAAACTTACACCCACTTGTGAAAGAAATGTACTCTTGCTCTGGAATGTGTCACTGAATATGTTAAATCTGTAGTGAAATGCTTCTTCTAATCAATGTAGTTATTAAAAAATTTAAAAATAATGATAAAAAATAAGAATTACTAGATGTGAAAAACATTACCATTGAAATCTACCTGATGAGTTTATATCCATGCTTAGATGCCAACGAGTTCAGAAAGTAACCGACTGTCACTAGTTATAATCAGATATATAGAGATTAGAAATGCATGTGCAAACATCTTAATTTCAATTGCATTGAAAATGAATTTTTCTGTATGAAACTGTGTATTTTAATAATGAAATGGAGTTCTTTTTTAAAGTTTAAAACCTCATTTAATTTTATGTCTTATAGGGTTTATACTGAGTACAATATTGTACAATGTTGTATAACTGTATTAATTCAACTGTAAACCTAAAAATTTACAGCCAATCTTGAAACAGATGCATCTTAGTTCAGGAAATTGTTATTGAATATGTCAATGCTGTTGTCATGAAATGCTTCTTCTAAGTATGTGGTTATTAAATAAATAATTTTAAAAAAAGAAAAAGAAAAGCTGTGCGTGGTGGCATAACACTGTAATTCCAACACTTGAGAGGTAGAGTCAGAGGAGTTTAAGATCATCCTTGTCAACACAACAAGTTTGAGGTCAGTCTGGGCCCCATGAGACCTTGTCTTAAAACAAAACATCCTCCCACAAATACAAAAACAAAACAAAACAACAAAAACAAAGAAAGGAAAACTGACTAATGGGCTCCTCAGAGTGCTTGCTGCTAAGCTTGAGGACCTCAGTTCAGTTCCTGGGACCCACATGGTAGGAAGGAAAAACGGATGCTCCCAAGTTGTCCTCTGACCTCCATATGTGTGTCTTGGCACACACACACCACCCCCCACTAAGTAAGTAAATTAGTAAATAAATGTACAAAACAACAAGGAAAAAACTGGAATGAGAAGAGGGTGACAGCCTGGGACCCTTCCCTCTGTAGATCTGCACCCTTCAGAGTGGAGGGGCTGAAGGGAATCCCCTGCTGGGAAACTGGGACGGAGGAGGGGTGTACAGTCAGCGGCAGGCAGGGGGTGATGGTGGGAAGGAGAGGCGGGAGGAGGGCCGGGAAGGGAAGGTGGGAGGTGAGGCAGAAGCTGGAGGGAGGGTGGCCGGCAGCTTTGGGAAGAATCCGAGTCCCTGCCTGTGAGTGATTAGCAGCAGCCAGGCGCAGAGCACAGTCAACCGAAACTTCTAGGCATCCCCTCTGCCCCCGCCGAGGCCAGGAGGCATCCGATGCTGAGTGACTGATCGCGGGGGATTCGGGACATTGCCGGGAGCATTGCCGGGACTTGGAATTAGCGGAGATGGGAGTGGGGTCCGGCCCCCTGCGGCCACGGCTGGAGGGTGTCCACGCATCGCGGTGACACGGACGGACGGACGGGCCAGTGCAGCATCCGGGGGTGCAGGGCCGGGGCCAGGAAGCTTCCTGGAACCCCAGCCCCGCGGCCACTGCACCCTGACACCAGCCAGATAAGCATTATCGGAGCGGCCAGAGCCCGGGGACGTCGGACACAGGGGGGCCACCCAGTGCATTCCCAGGACAAGGAGGACCCGTGGAAGCCAGCGGCTGCAGGGTGCTCCCCCAGCCCGCTGCTGGTGGCTGAGGCTGACTCACAGAGAAAGCCAGGCAGCTGAGGACAGTGAACTCAGACTCCATGGTGAGTGCTCGGTGGGGTCCCCCAGCCTGGCTGGCATGTACAGGTGGACAGAAGGGGGGCACTTCCTCTCACTCCATCTAGGACAGGGGGCTGGAGAGAGAATCTGGCTGGGGGCTGAGGCAGCGTGACTGTGTGGCTTTGGACAACTTCTTTTCCCTCTCTGGGCCTCCGTGTGTCCATCTTTAAATGATCTTTAAAGGGTTCTTAGGAAACCCTCTTTCTCTGCCATGCACAGTACTGCGCATTTCTGAAGCTTTCTCTCTAGGAATCCTCAGCCTTCCTCCGCCCTTCGGGGTAGAGGTTATTTTTGTACAAAGGCTCAGAAACATGGAGTGATTTGCCTGAGACCACACAGCCCATCAGTGGCAGAGACCAGCAAACAGACCCATGTCTTTCTGACTTAGCTAAAGGTGCCTATCTATCTCTGATGGTTTGTAAGGTCTGCGGTCTCTGTTCTGTGACTGTGAACCTAACCCAGGCAGCTATCCATCACCTTGGGAAGGGGCAGAGAAGGCAGCTGGTCCAAGCCAGCAAGTCACTGTCAGCTGTCCAGAAGGAGCTGGTTGTTTGGGCTGGGCCAGGAGTTCCCGGACAGGAGGATGTCATTGCCTAGCCTTGCTGCCTAGGGTTCCCCTGGGCAGAGAAAAAGGGTTTGTGTAAGGGGTAGGAGAGAGCTGGGGGCAGGGAGTGTGGCTTGCAAGCCTTGACTGGGTTTTGTTCCAATTTTATTTTGTCTTTTCAAAAATCTGTTTTAAATCATCCCGGCCCCCGCACAGCTCCTCTGGACAAAACAGAATTGTGAAACTCATCAGCCTTTCCCACATGCCTCCCCTGGGGGGAATCATGTATTAATACTGTGGTAGGCTATTTGCATATGCACCCCTGCAGCTGTGGCAGGCAGCGGGCAGGGTGAGGTACAGATTAAGTCAGCCCTGGCCTCCCGGCACTGGGAAGGGGGTGCAGTTACATCTCAGGGTCAGGATGTCCTCAGCACATGGTGGCAGGTGGGAAGCCCCTAGGGTGCAGGTTCCAACACCCAGATGTGGCCTTTTATCGCTTCCCTTGGAAAATTCCATTGGGCAACAGCACTGAGATAGACCCAAGCCTCCTTCCCTTTCCAGGGTGGGATCAGAACCCCATGCTGTGAGGGTGGGTGGATGGAGGCATGAACTGTGGTCCCAGGAGTCTCCTTAATCCTAGAGAACCCAGGGTAGTTGGTCGCCTTCCTGGGTCTGCCCTGGATGGTCTATGTGACCTTGAACCAGTTGCTTCCCTCCTCTCAGCCTCGGTTTCCTTATCTGTGAAACGATGGGCTTATTTGAGGAAATTTCCGAAGACTGAAAACCCCAGATTCTGTGACTCTGGTTAAAGAATCAGGGCTGGAGATGTAATGTAGCAACAGAATGCTTGCCTAGCATGCACAAGGCGGCCCTGGGCGCGCGCACGTGTGTGTGTGTGTGTGTGTGTGTGTGTGTGTGTGTG